GTGCTTGCATTTTCATTCATTAGCAAAAATTTATGGCATTCCTGCACTTTGCCAGGCTTTGTACTGGCACCAAGGACATAAAGATGAAAACGAGGTGACCCCTGGCCTCCCAACCCTCCCAGCCGGTACCTGCTGCCACGTCCCGTGTCTCTCCACAGCCTCATCAACCACCCTTCTCTCCAGCAGCCCCCTTCTCTGACACCAGGCATGTGACATCTGCAAGAAAAAAGGCCCAACTCTCTCGCAAAGAAGTGCAGTTAACCCCTAGGAGTAGGGAAGGAAGCCTGTGGATAAAACTGGGCTGACCAGTCCTGAGGCCCAATCCACAGGGCTCCTTGAATCCTGCAGGTGGAGTGCCAGTCACATGGAGGATTGGCCGGCTCAGAACTTGGCCCTTCCCAGGCCCCCTACCATTTTATAGAGTCGTTCCCCAAAGGCATTGCCTCCTCCAGAGGCTCTCACTTGACATTTAAGCAGAGACAGGAGTGAAGGGAGATCTGGACCACACAACCAGCCGAGGGGTGAGGGTGGGGGAGAATGTTCAGAGCAAAGGAACTGGCACGTTTAATGGCCCTGGGGTGGGATCATGCTTGGCTGTTCAAGAAATATCAAGGAGAGGATTTGACTGGGGAGTGATGAACCAGGAGCAGAGAGGAGGGAGGCCGGCAAGGAGGCCCTGAGGGCAGAGGGGAAGGATTTGGATGTAATCTGGATTTCCATCTAAAAAGGATCCCATTGGCTGCTCAGGGGAAGCTGGGAGATCAACTAGTTCCAGGAATTTTGTTGGAACATGCTGTTCTTCCTGGGCTGTGTAATTATGCTCCTCACAGGTTTAGATGCAATTTTTAATCTCAGCTCCTAGACCACAGCAATTTCCTGTAGGGAGTTTTGGAGATAAGATACGAGCCTTGTAAATGTCCCTAACCCTGGATTGTCTGCCAAAGTCCTTTGTCCCCTCACCTGGGAGAGGCCGCCTGGCAAGCAACCACCCCACATGGGACAGCTTCCTCTCACCTCCACATGAACAAAGCCCCAGGGCCCTGCGATGTTAGGGCACCTGAGAAACGGTTTAAAGGGGTTCTTTATCTTTTTGTTCGGTTGTTTGAGGATTTCTTGGATGTTTCCGTAACAAAAAAGATCTTACTGTCACTTAGGTTTCTGATGTAAGGAGGGAAAAATTCTTCCTCTGCCTTCAAGGTCTTCCAGCTGGACTGAGAATTAAATTTACAGGAAACAGATTAACAGGAAAAAAAAAAAAAAAAGCTACAACCCCAAAGTCTTATTATGTGCGCACGGAGGCCAAATAAGGAAATTGAGACAGAAGAAAATGACCGAGGCAAGGGGGTTTTACGCTTTTCAGACAGAGACATAAATCTGGGAGGAACTGACAGGACAAAGAAAATATAACTTTGGGAGCTTCGATTGGTAAGGAATTCCAAACAGAATTTGGGTTGGGCTGGTAAATTAGTAAAAAGTAACAAGGACAGCCTTGTTGTTGTTGTGAGGTTGTGAGGACAGCCTTCTCAGCCCTGGGTTTCTTATCTCTGGTGATAAGGATGTCGCTTTACCTCCTGGTACCAGGACGGTTCCTTTCACATGGGAGATTAATTTCCTGCTTTCAGGGCACGGAAGAGGGTCTGAGTGTTCTTGCACAGGCTGGCTTTCAAGTAACTTTTCTTTAAACCAATTAATATGCCAAGGTAGCAGCACATTGCCGGGCCGTCTGCCCTTGGCCCCACACCTGATGCATGCCCCCTTCATCAGCCCTTCCAGCTCAGATCCACCCTGTGGCCACTGCCCACTGGGGGTCACCCTCTATACTCGCTTGTAGAAACAGCCAGTGTGCATGTTTGGGCTCAGACAAAGCACAGCTCAAAGCCCTGCTCTGGTAGGAGATTGCCCCCCTGGACCTCAAGACCCTCATCAGTAAAATGGGGACAACTAGCTTTATCTCCAACAAATGTGGTCAACAGGGTCCCTCCTGACACAGAGTAAGGTTATCAGTGAAACGTAGGCATACTGTTGCCACTGCAGGGCTCATGAGTTGGGTTTCCTGGCTGAGCTGTGCAGTCGTGAAATGCACCCTCCTGTTAGGACTATAATTACTGCCTCTGCGCAGTCCCTGCCCTGTCCGGATTCCAGTGTCCCCTGTGCTCCTTCTGGACCTCAGCTCCATGCCCTTCTCCCAGGAAGCCTTCCCAACCCCCTGAGTCAGGCCAGGCGCCCGCAGAGCCCAGCAGAACATTCCTCCTTTCCTTGTGGGGCTCTGCTTGCGGGATTGGGTCCCGGGCATACAGTAGGGCTCAGCCAGCGTGAGCCATTCCTACACTTCCTCAGAGGCTGCTGCCCCTCTCTGGCCTCAATTTCCTCGTCCATAAGGAGGTGTCCTGAGCTGACACTGTCAGCGTGGTTCTGGGGTCCAGACATTCCCAAGTTCATCACTTCCTCCTCCCTGGTTTTCCATGGCGTTGTTTATTCAGACCATACCAGGGGCCGGCCTTGGGGCCCGTGCTCCCACGGACCGTGTCCTCACTGCCCGGCAAACTTTTTAGGGGAGTTTGCCTTGTTTCCACAACGGCGGACTTCAACAATTCTCCAAGATCAGCTTGCGATTCACGATGTTTCCACTGATTTTTCTTCCTTTTTTCCCCTTTTCTCTCTTTCTTACTTTTTTTTGTTTATTTGTTTTGTTTTTGTTTGGGGGACTCAGTTCTATATTCTGTGTGTGTGCTGCAAAACTTTTGGATTGAACACAGATTGTGTTTGTTTGCTCATCTTTGAGGTCCTCTTTCCTCCAGAAGGTGTTACATTTTCGTGGGTTTGTTTGAGGCCTGTTTATCCTTCTACTGTGATGCACCAGGCTCCCAGTGCAGCCCACCCCGCCCGCCCCCTCCTCTCCCCAGACCTACCTGCCTTCCGTAACCAGCGTCCTGCCACCACCCGCCACTCGGATCCCTGGCTCCTTTGCTCTTCCCTCCCAAATCTTCCACAGACCTCACATACAAAAAGACAAACATGCTGAGTGCACTACCTCCCTCTGCTTATCCCTCTGAAGTCATAGCGTTCAGCTTCTGCCGTGTCCCCGAAGTCCGAGCACAGGGTCAGGTTTCCCCCATCCTCACCACCACTCCACCTGACCAGGGCTCCATGCTGGGTCAGAGACGTCACCCAGATGGGGGCCTCCCCGGGCACCTCTCTCCAAGTCTGCAAGGATGTACAGTGTGGCAGCCCCTGCCCCCTAAAAGGAACTGAGGCCACACTGCACCAGCCAGAAGCGGACACTTGACCACAGACCCCTGGGGAAGCAGGCTCACCTGTGGAAAGAAGATGTCCTGCCAATGCCTCAGCTCCCCCTCCCCCATTGTCCTGCCCCCTCCACTCCACCCCACTACCCTCCACCAGATCCCACACTCTCCCCCCACAACCTTAGCTGACTCTTAGACTCACCTGGCCGTCCAGACTCCTTCCAGCTGCAGGGGTGAGGACAAACGATCTCCCACCTTGAACTGTCTCAGTTTTTCCATCCGGAAAATGGGATAAATAACTCCCATTCCCAGCAGCTACCGAACAGGAGCCAGACTTTCCCCCAGGAGGTTCTGCTGCTGAACCAGCAGTACCCCCCAGGGACAGCAAGCTGGTCTGCTCCCCATCAGAACAGTATGGCCAGGTGCTGCAAGGGTTGCCTTCAGGGCCCCCCTCCCCAGCCCTGCTTCCTTCCCAGGTCCCCAGCTGGCCCCTGGAAGCCCCGACCCTGGTTCCAAAGCTCACGGGGACGGCTCCCTCGCTTGCAGAGCAGTATCATCTTGAGGATTAAATGAGCTAGTGCTGTAGCACAGTGACAGGTACCCCGCCCATCGGGGCCGTCACCCTGGCAGGCCTGGGGAGCCCCCAGGATCCAGACCAAGCCCAGTCCTGGCGTTTGGGGCCTTCCCCCTTGGTGTGGCACTCCCCACAGCTCCCAGCTGTGCAAACAGCCCTAATCCCCGGCCACCTTTGGTGTTATTTTCGTCTGGGCCCCCTTCATCAGCCCTTCCAGCTCAGATCCACCCTGTTGGCCACTGCCCACTGGGGGTCACCCTCTATTCCGGCCCAGACTCTGGCTTTCCCAGGGGCGTAGGTCTGGCCTCTGGCCTCCGGGAGTGGAGTCTGGGTGGGGGCAGCACTCACTTCCTGCTAGAGCAGGCCAGGCAGGACAGTCCCGCATGCCCTGGAGGACGGAACAGACTGGCCCCACCAGAGTGCCCAGGACGCAGTGCCTGCTGAGGGTGTGGACTGCAGCTTCTGTGGGTCTTCTGTTCTCTCATTTCGGACTCTCCCACACCCTCTACTCATAACTTGAACAGGTCGGGTTAGTTTGGTGGGTCTCAGTCTTTCCATCCGTAAAATGGGGTAAACAACTCCCATTCCCAGCAGCTACTGTCTGGATCACGCATGCAATGCAAGGATGAATGTTTTGTAAATTATCAGCTTATTTTCCAAATGTTTGGGCCTCTTTGGGTCCAGGACACATCTTCAGGGCAATCAGCCTTGACAGGCTGCGGCGAGAAGGCTCCTCCTCCACGGTGGAGGGCAGAGGGCGGCATTCCTGGCAGCCAGCATGCATGGGGGCAGGTGTCTCCCCACCCCACCCAGCATTGTGCCGGCGTCAGGTCGTATGGCTGACTTCATGGGAAGGAAGCCTGGAGAGATAAGCAGACGGCCATCCCAGTAAACAAGTCCGGGAGCTCCTGGGACACAGGCAAAGTAGGTCGGAGGCCACAGAGGAGATGGTGCTAGGAGGTGCGGCCGGTGCCAGGTCCCTGCTGGTGGCCAGGAGGGATCAGCAGGTCTCAGGCACGGATGACCCGGTGGGCGGAATCCTCATGGGCGTTGGGTGGCAATGCTGCGGGCCTAGATAGGATCTCAGCACAGGGGAGTGCGTGTGGGCCCCTGCTGGGCAGGATGTCTGGCCTAGACAAGCTGGCCCGATTTGGGCTGCAGCCCAAGCCTGCAGACTGGCCATGGGGCAGGGGCAGGTGGCAGGGCAGAGTCTGACCGATCCGAGCTCCGGGCTGCCGGCTGAGTTCGTGCGTTCTGGCTTAGCTGGCATCCGGGGCATGTCTAGCCCCTGCGGAGGGCTGGGGTTAGCTGTGCGCACGCCGGGCCAGGCACAGCCTGGTGCACCAACGCTGCAGCACCCCAGGTGGGACTGGGGCCATCCAAGGGGCAGCCTGATGCAAGCCTCATGGGGTGAGCTGCCTGGGGTCTCAGTGGCACTAAAAGAGGGATATGGGGTGCAGGAGAAGCTGAGCGGAGGTTTCCCGGGCAGACCTTACGGGAAGGGCATTTGGCCAAGGCCCAGCATTGGAAAGGCACGGCTGCCAGGACAGAGGTGGGTGAGGCGGCTGGGCAGCCATCACGGGAGCTGCGAGCTCAGCCTGAGTACAGAGGGCTGGGTCGCCCTGGCCTTTTGGAGGCTCATGTTGGCTGTTCTGCTTGTTGCCTTCACAGCTAGCCCCTGAAGCCCCCACCAACGCTTGGCACACAGCAGGGGCCTGGCAGTGTGCTCGGATAGGGTTTGACACCCCCCGCCCCAACCCTCTCCCCATCCAGCCAGCTGCAGGAAGCACACGGCCTGACAGCACGGCCTGTATTTCATTTCCTTCTTCCCCTGAGTATATGTGAGGGGCCCTGCATCGGCCAGGCCCCTCCTCGGCCAGGCCTGGAGCCACAGGCCCCCCCAGTGTGGAAGGCCACTGTATTACTCCACTGAGGCTGCAAGCCACCACAGTCCACGTGGCTTAAACAAGAGAGGCTTATTTTCTCACAGTTCTAGTTTGGAGGCAGGGTCAAAGTGCTGGCATGCTGGTTTCTGCTGGGGTCTCCCACCTTGGCTTAGAGACCGCTCCCCTCTCACTGCCTCTTCATATGCTTGACCCTCTCCTGGTCTCTCTGTGTGTCCAAATTTCCTGTCGTAAGCACACCAGTCCGATCGGGTTACGGCCCGCCCATCCGCCCTCATCCTACCTTAACCACTTCTTTGAAGGCTCGGCCTCCAAGTGCAGCCACCACACCTGAGCCCCCTCCTTGCGGCCTCATCAGTGCTTTGGCATTGATGCTACGGTCTCCCCCACAGAGGTGGGGTGTGAGTCCTTTCTGGGTTCCCACTCCAGCTATAGCCTTTATGAGCTGCTGTGCGGCATTAAAGGATCTCTAGATGAATAACCGGGGAGGGGCAGAAGGAGCCAAGCCCAGGGAAGCCACAGGAGGCGCCCCGGCAGGGAGGCTGGCATTTCTGAGGCCCTGCCCGCCCACCCGCACTTTCCTGCCATGCTCCTTCTCCGTGCTGCAGTGCTGAAACCAGCCCCCGGCAGGCGCTGACGCAAGACTTCCAAGGAAGTTTTGTACCCACACTTCCCGAGCCTCAGAACACCAGCCGTGGGAGGCAGGCAGGGCAGGCCTTCCTTCGTCCACCCCTCTGGGCTGGAGATCAGGGATGGCTTGCCCAAGGGCGGGGTTCGGACTCACACCCAGCCTTCTGCCCTCTCCTCTCTCTCCCTGCACCACGCCTGAACAGGGGCTGGGCTCCTGGTGAGGAGTGCATCGCAGGGAGCTGGTAGGGTAAGGCCTGTATTTGTGGCTACCCAGTGCCAAGCACAGGCATGGGGCCCGCCCTTCTGCCATCTGCAGGGGAGGCTCCTGCGGGAGGAGTCACGGAGAAGCAGGGCTGGGCAGGGAGAGCTGAGGGGGAGGCAGATGGCTCACTTGGGCCCCCGCAGTCGGACCTCTGTCACTTCTGAGCCCTGTGCCTTTAGACAAGTTACTCAGCTTCCCTGAGCTGCAGCTTCTTCATTGATAAATCGGGGACAGATGCAGTCATGGGCCAAGTACTGGAGTGCTTCCTATGCACTGGGACTATTTTCAGCGTGAGAGCTACAGGATAGACATGTCCATGTCCTCCTGGAGCTGGGTGGGGAGGGGCAGACATGCTCTGAGTGCAGGGCTGGAGCCCTGCTGGGGTGGGCTGCTGTGGTCCATTTAGCTGGGAGGTCAGGGAAGGCCCCCCATATGGCTGAACTGGGCCTCTGATGAGGAAAAGAATCTGGGGCACAGGAGTCAGAATAGCACCTCTCTCTCCTTGGGCCGACTCAGGAGGGGAGGGTTCAGCTGCCTGTGCCTCCCCCCTTGCTTGATCCCAGGCCCCTAGGAGGAAGACCTCCTCCAGCAAGCCTTCCCCGCCACCAGCCCGCAGGCACCCCCCTCCCCTCAGGCTGGCCATGAGTGCCTGGGGCAGGGGCTGCAGGGGCTCTGGGACCCCTAGCTGCTCTCTGAAGTCCCCAACCCCGGCAGGACACATAGTCCAGGGGGCAGTAAAGGACGGCTGGGACGCTGATAGCCCTGTGAGCACGACATGCCTCTTCAGGGGCAAATCTATCTTCAGCCTGGGTGTCCAGGGCACAGGGCGCCCCTTAACCCAGACTGCCTGCTTCCAATGCTTGTCCCATCCCTTCCCTGCTGAGTCCCCAGTGCCTAAAACTGCTCCCCTCAGCAATGTGGGGAGGGCGGCACCTGCCCCCCCCCCGGCCTGTAAGCAGAGGACCCTATGGTAGTTTGGGGGGCTGGGCAATGGGGCTCGCATCTGCTATGGGTGCCTGTCCAGGCCTTCGAGCTTACTTCTGAGAGGAAAGCAGGGCCAGCCCAGCTCTGGAGAGGACATCAAGCCGCCCATCGGCGCCGCATCTGGATTGGCATAGGTGCCCCTCGCCCACCTGGAGGGCCGGGCCTGCCCGCCACCCCCGCAGACCGCCCAGGCAGCATTTCTGGGCCACCTGCCACCACGACCCCGCCTGTCATTACGACCCACCAAGGAGGCGTTACTGAGCTCCAGGCCCGGCAACTGTGACCCGGTCCCTAAGACCAGCGGCGAGGGGAGGCCACCGCCTCCTGGGCCTGCGCCCTCAGGACGATCCCGGGACAGCGCCCCGGGGCCGCGCGGCCCGACTCCTGCCCCCTCCTCGCACCGCGGGGGGCCCCCTCCTGGGTCCCACGCCCGCCCCCTTGTCTCCCGCCAGCCGGCCCCTCCTCGGTCTCCCCCAACCCTGCCGCTCCCGGCCCCCCTCCCCCGCCCCGCTCCGGCGGGTCTGGGGCGGCGGCGGCGGCGGCGGCG